AAGCCCTTATGGGTAGTGTGGTCCTCGTTGGACAAGCAGTGGGGAAGCTTGCGAGTCAAGTGTTTTCAATGGAAGTTATGCAGTTTTAGCTGGCTAACCTCCAGCAGTACCCCAACACACACTCTGGGGTCATCAAGCCTCGTCTCTTGCCAGCCTGCACCTAATACTGTCTGGAATTAAGCAAACAGGGTGCCTCCCTCCAGAAAGAGAGCACATTTATAAATCAAGTTAAATCACAGCAGTTGTATGCAACATTAACATAATGAACTGAAAGGTGATGTTATCTGTGTCATGAAGGATGTCACTGATGTACAAATAACTTTGCTATTCCTGGTGGGGAATGTTAAGATCCAGCTTCCCCAGGTGTAGCACATACAAAGTATTTATTTAAACATTAATACGTTGAGGCCAATTCTCAAATATTTTCTTATCAGTGTATAAGATGTTTGAACAGTCACTGTATGTCCACTGTATATTCTGTAGTCCACTATTCAAAGCAAAGGGAGCCAAAGAGTTAAATAGACACAATGCACAATGGACCACTCCAAACATATGTTCAGACTTTATTAAACTGCCCGTCACAGATTGTTGCTGTAGCAACGCTATTTACCAAGGTTCGTTTGGAACATTCTATAAAATCCAACTTTACTCATATTTTTTTACACACACACACAGGAAATAATTACATTTTATCACAATCTTTGTAGGAAGAGGCTGTTGCCACTAGATGCACATTTTCACTTTTCCCGCAGATTTTATTTTTTTTAAAAACAGTGTTTTGCAATTTCCTTTTTTTTAAAAAAGAAAAACAGCTTAAAAGCTATTCTAAACGTAATTAAAAGTGCAAGAAAACCAGAAGAAGCTATTTACAATTCAAGGTTGACCCCTGTTTGGTTTTGTGTGTGTGTGCACACGCTGTGGAGTACGCTGTGTTAATAATGCGCTCCTAACCGTACATCTAATATGAAAAGCAAGTAGTGACTTTCATGGTGACTTGCCAAAGTTCAGTAACTGTGTTAATGTTTGGGATGAGGTCCTGTTTCTGAATTTGAGACAGGTAAGTTTCCAGTTACAAAAGGCTTTTTAATCACCAACAGGAAGCAACTGGGTTCCCAAACATTTATTTCTATTCAGTGGCACATTGGTGCTTGAATTCCTTTAAGGCATTTTCGTGGGCATCTAATGATCTGCTCTTCACCCACCAACATCAAATGATCAGCTCAAACTTCTCTATAAAAGGGCCGCTGTCATTGCTTTTGTGAAAAAGGATTTGGCAAGTCTTTTTCTCATTTATGAACAGACACACAGACCCATAACTGTGTTAAAATGTATCATTACATCATTTATGATAGATAGGATTTTTCAATTTTTTTTAAATGGATACAGAATTTTCTTTTTAATTACTTATTTTTTCCAGTTGTCCTGGGTCAATATCATGGTAATTTATTAAAAGTGCATTTTGTTCCTCACACTAAATTTTCTCCTCTCCTGAAGGTGTTTGACTCCTCTGTCAGCTTACTGGTTTCATGGATATCAGCTGCCCTCAATATCTCACCCGAGTGCCAATTAATATAGAAAAATGTGCAATTCCTTACACTGAATGTCAGTGGGTTAGTTGACTGGGGCGGGGGAAGGTTATCCATATCAAAACTAATTCCAAATCAGTCCTTTCTTGAAATCTACAAAAATGCATTTCCAGTAAATGTGGTTGGGGTGGGGGAGAAAAGGGTCACAGGGTCACAAATGGGTAGTCTGATAGTTTTCCCCTTTCCTAAACCAAGGCACTGAGCCCATTTACATCTGCCCTTCCTGCAGTGTCAATTGATATACTAAAAGTGCAATTTTAGACAAGTTTAGAGTTTGGCTTGCGCCAGACAGGAATTTAGATAATGAAGCATTTTACTTAAGTGACTACCCTCCTGGGGACGAGGGGAAGGAGAGGAAAGCGGGGTCTCCTTGGAGCTGAACTGGCTTCTGGGGCTTAGCACCAGAATGTCAGAAACCAGTTAACTCTTTGTGGCAATCTTGTTAGTCAGGTTCCTGAGCCAGGTGGGTCCACAGTATGCCAGGACACCTCTGATGCCTGGCTCATCAGTAGGACTTGGGTGAGGAGCACCCAAACTGGATAAGCAGTGATAAAGCTTGCCAGACAGTAACTTCAATGGCAAGCCAAGTGGTTTTAGTTGGTCAAACTCCATCAGTAATTCAACAAACACTATGGGGTCCCCAAGCCTTGGCTCTTGCCAGCCTGTGCCTAGTACTCTCCAGAATTAGGTAAGCAGGACACATTCCATTCCAAACACAGGAATTTGCATGTGAAGATGAGAACTCTGTTAAGCTTGGATACTCCTAAGCATTGTGATGGGTTTCCACATGTGTCAGAACACCCGATTGACTAACAAAAATGTTTTACCAAAAGGTTGGCTTAAAACTAAAACTAAAAAAAATCCAGTAAAAAGTCATGCTCTTAATAAATCACTTGTGTCTGAGTGACCTACGTATTCTCACACAAGGTAAGAGTCAAAGGTCCATCAAATTCACATTACTGGAGACCCACAGATTCCAGCTGTACAGGTGTTGCAAAGCTAAGGATACAATTCAACCAAGTTTCAGCCAATCTACTGGTATCCTTCACTATTCTTGGAGGTGCAACATGCATGAAGATCATATTGTGGTCTCACAATATGGTCATGCTAAGCTTATACCAGTGTCTATACTTCATACTGCAGTTTGGTCTGGAAGTGGAACTTTATCAAAGTCCAGCTTTATCAAAGGCTGAATTCCACAAAGGGGATGGAGTGTCAGTGCTCAGTAATTTACAAGTGCCTGTGGCTTGCTCTGGCTAGAAAAAAATCTGTTTGTTCTAACCATCAGCGAGATGTTAAAATATTTACAGAATGTAATATATTAAGGGTTTGAGTTACTAATGTCAACTCTGTAGGTAACGTTTAAAGTCACTGGCAGCTCTAGTGAGGAGTTACAGTTCACAGCCCTGAATTTGACTATAAACACATATATTGAGACATCATTTGATGTTACTCTGACCTTTGGTTTATACAGGGGATGACTGATCTTGGTCAGTTTCGCCAATTCAACTTTTCACCTGGTTATGGGCCACAAAGCACTAGACTGGACTCTATACATGCTATTGTTGACATTATAACTGAAGTGCATTCTGAGGTTTCAGAAACAGATCAAACACCGAGTTTAAATGGGAGTTTAACAAACGTATATGCTGTGTCGTAAATACAAACGCACTAATGTGTTAACAGCCGTAAAACTAGTTTAGTTGTCTCCCAGAAAAGTGATTCAACAGGATTCGGTTTGACATTAAATCATAAATAATGCAGTTGTTGGGTATCGAGAAAATTTCAGCCTGCATTATAAGCGAGGGCACAAAACAGCTGCCTTCCGTCAGGTCTTCCGGGTTCATTACTGAGATCTCTGCACAGGTACACAGAAAGCTATCCGGCTGCTCTCATAGGAGCAAATTAGGTTGTGCTTTGTCATGATGCACAAACAAACTTATTGTGTTATACTCATGACAATGGGATTTTAATGATTTGATGTCACAAAATAATAGGGTCCATTACCGACCGCAGCATAAGCAAGGCAGTGCTGCTATACTGAAAGGCCTCCCCTGTGTGTATTTAAATGCTCCATCAATGTAGTGGAATTTCATCTATATTAGAAATAGTCTGTCGAAGCATACTGTCATGGTTCTGTAGCCAATCTAGATGCTACTACATACAAAGTTCAAACAGACCTTTTAGGTGAACTGCCAATTGCTGAGCATGATCCATCCTGAGTTCTGAGGATTCAATTCATTATACAATAAGTGCTGTAACAATAAGAATCACCTCAATTATTTGTATACATTTTACGCGTCTAATTTGGAAGAAATCGAAATCCAGTCTAATATGGTAGGAAATGACCGAATTTACACTTCAAGTATTAACCAACTAGAATGCATTGATTCTCATCCTGAATATCACCGACATTTTTTCTGTAACAGAAGGGAAATGAGTAAGAAACTTTTTCTCAGCACCAGCAGATTAAACAGGTTCTGGAGCCTGCTCAACACACCGTCATTTGATAGGTTTATAAACAAAACGTTCAGTTGCTGAAGTGCAAACTTAGAACCATACATGTGGCACACCATATGGCAACCAGCCCATGTTTAACATAAACAATGATGTTCCCTTTAAGGCTCCACTTTATGGGATTTGTGGTCCATCTCTACACATAACCATCAATACGGCTCCACATTCTGTGTTCCAACAACTCTTGGTGCTGTAATGACTATCTGGAGCTATGGGCCTGAAGATAAATGAGACTTCAATAACTTAGCAATGAAGTTAACTTCAAAGGCAATTTCGAATTATTTGGATTATAAATCTTGATATTTAATAATAATAATCCTTGCACTTGATATAGCGCTTTTCACGTCTTCTAGACATCTCAAAGCGCTTCACAGAATATACGGTAAAATGAATTGACTGTATATTTGTGGGCAAAACGCGGTAGCCAATTGCGCACAGCAGTGCCCTACAAACAGTCGTGGATTGAAGTGACCAATTTTATTATTGTTTTTTTTCTTGAGGGATTATTATCAGGTGTGGAATAAGGAAACTTGCCCAAGGTTTCGCCCTGCTGGGAATCGAACTCAGGTCTCTCGTTTGTGAGGCAAGTGCTCTAACCGCTGAACTACAGGACTCCACGCAAAAATAAGGGAATAAGCAGCACTAGAGGCTGACATCGATAGTAGTTCAGCTAACAAATGCCACACTAACATCAGGGTGCTATAGAGGTTAGGATCATCAAGGAACACATCATACATGGCAGTCATGGATGTGCAAGGATGCTGCAGATAGATAGATTAACTGAGCCAAAGACATAAAATAAAAACTTTCAAGATTTCCAATAGAAAATAAACTATGCAGTATTTATGATGGGGATAATAATAATAATCCTTGCATTTGATATAGTGCTTTATCATGCTGTTGGGATGTCTCAAATCACTTCACTGTGATTACTGTAAAGTGTATGACTGCATTTTTTAGGCAAAACTTGGGAGCCATATGGGGGTGGGGAAATCAAATCAATTGCAAGTCAGTTCTTGTGATCTCAAGGTAGTGAGGAGTTGTGCCAAACAGTTTTAATATAGGTAGTAGATTGGATGGGAGAAAAACTAAAACCTGAAATGTGGGAGGGCAGTGTGACCCTGGGAACTGAAGTTTAAACTGTACGAGGGAGGTAGTGTCTAATCTTAAAACTGGAACTTTGATCAAAGAAAGTTAGATTACTGCAATTAATAATTTAAGAACCGAAGATAAAATATCAAAAACTGCCCTTGAAACGTACAAATTAGAAGACAGAATGTCACATGCGGCTTTTTGTGTTTTAAAGTTCTGCTTTGGCTGGTGTGGTAGATGATATATTATTTAATATCTCACAATGTTATCGCTAAACTGAGATGTGAAAAAATGCATGAAACGGCAAGGTTCATAAGCATATCTGGATCTACAAATGCTGAGTAAAGAATTAACTGCCACACTTAACATTTAGTTGAATATGTATTGACCCAAGAGGTCAAGGTTGCCATATGTTCCAGTTTTTCTTGAAAGTGCTAATGTGGTGGGACAGTTAGAAATAGATTATGTTCTCTTCATCATCCTCCTTCTCCTCCTCAGCCCCTTCTTTTGGTCCATTTTTGGCTTCCTGTGGAACAGACGACTCCTCTAAGAGCTGTGTCTCACGTTGTGACTGTGAAGGCCCCAGAAGAAGAATACTTGTAGATGGCTGGTGGGCAAACCAGGCTACTTCGTCGCTGTTCATATCTGGGTAAGGAGAGAGAAAAGTTTAATAAATACTGGGATCCCCTTTTAGAGATGCATTGTTACTTTACACCTCACAGTGCCCCATTTTAAATTATCTGGAATGCAGTATATTGAATAGGACAGCTTTGAAAATATAATTATGGAAGAATCTACAGGGCAAATAGAGTAGGCAATCTACAATCAGCCAGCGATACCTCAAAGAGTAAATTTAATCCCAACTAGGCATTTGGAAGTAATATTGAACAGAGGTGAGACACTTGTCCTGAAGCAGTTACTCACTTGGATAAACTATCAGACTTGGATGCTCTGGTAACATACGAGTGGTGAAACCAGTGGCTTTAGAAGCATCCTCTTCTTTGAGAATATCCTTGGCTGAAAGCACCTCCTTTGCATAGTTAAGTTGGTCACAAGAAACTAAAAGAGAGAAAAATATCTTATTTTAAAATAGATGCACATAACATCTACACAGTGGCACCAAGTGATATATAAGCAAAAATGGTTGCATTTATATGTACCCTGCATCGCAACCCGATCTGGACCCTTAGATAGGGCTCTATGGGGTAGAAATGAAACTCCAGGAATGCTCTTGTAAAAGATCCTGCTTTCGGTGTTCCTTTCCAAGGTGAAAAGGTGACTCAGAGAAACTCTACATTCTGAGTCACTGTTAGAAACTGTAAAAGCTTTCAAGAACTTTTCTTAGAATAAAGCGTGATCACAATTGACATAATGAAGTAGAACTGCACCCTATTTAGGTAACACTTCTTTCACCAGCGGGTAACAGTGTGATCATTGCTAGGTTTTGCCCACAATATACACAGTCAATTCACTTTACAGTATATTCTGTGAAGCACTGAGACTGTCCTTCGTACCCCACATCCGTGCCATGTCCTGCACCACCTTTCCCCACCTCCGCAATCTCGCTCGGCTCCGCCACTGTCTCACACTGCAGGACGCCGAAATCTTCATACACACATTCATAACATCTAGACTCGACTATGCAAAGCCCCTGCTTGTCGGCCTCCACAACTCCTCCCTCCATAGGCTGCAGATCATCAAGAACTCTGCAGCCTGCGTCCTCTCGTGCACCAGGCTCCGTGACCCTATCACCCCCATCCTCACTCGACTCCACTGGGTTCCCATCACACAGAGGACACAGTTCAAGATCCTGCTCCTCACCTTCAAAGCCCTCCATGGTCTTGCTCCACCCTACCTCTGCAACCTCCTATCCCTGCTGCCACTCTGCCCCCACCCTCTGGAACTCCATCCCACAGTCCCTCCACTTCACTCCCTCCCTTGCCTCATTCAAGACCCATCTCAAGACCCTCCTCTTTGACTGTGCCCAGTCACTTTCCTTCTCCCCCTGGCCCCCACCCTTTCCAATCCTGACCCCCAAACGCTCTGATCCCCAGCTTGGGTTCGAAACGCTGATTGTCCAGCGCCATGGGACATCCTCCCGATGTGAAAGGCGCTATATAAATGTAATTTTGTTGTTGTTATTGTCTCAATGATGTGATAAGGCGCTATATCAAATGCAAGGATTATTATTATTGCTCAACATATCCCTACTTAATCTAACAACATCGACTTAGAAGGACATTGTATTCTTGATGCAGGCATTAGAAAATTTGTTTATTAACAGAGCGAGTTTAATTAATACAGTGCTATAAACATACAATACACAAACACAATCAATGGAGATAAGAATAATAATCCTTACATTTGATATAGCATCTTATCACGTTGTCAAGATATCTCACTCTGAAATGTTAAAATTACCATTTTTGAAGGAATCAAAAATTTGGCTATTGATATTTTGCATTAGCCCTGAAGTGAACTGCACTCCAATCTAAAGTTCAAGCCCCACATTGGGACTTGAAACTCAATTATCTAGACTGATACTCCTGTGTCTGAGGATGTGCTGCATTGTCAAAGGTGTCATCCATCAGAACAGACATTAAGCCAAGGTCCCATCTGTCTGTCCAAGTGGATGTAAAGGCACTATTCGAAAAGAGAGGGCATTTCATCTGGTGTCCTGGTCAACAGTCCCCCCAAAAAATTGCTCATTAGTTCTTGACTTTTGTGGAATATTGCTGTGTGCCACGTTTGCCTACAAATACACAGGCACTATCCACTCCATCCTTCCGATGTGAAAAGTGCTATACTAAATGCTTAAATTGTTATTATTATTACAAGTTCACTAGTATACTGCAGAAATGAGGGAAAAGTCCCTCTTTAAATCTAAAAAATCCTCTTCAAACTCAGATCCTATTAAACAGCACTTCAAGCAGGCATCATTCATTGAGTCGTTGATTGGTGATCGATACCCATAAAACAAAAGTGAACTCCCTTAATAGTGTGTTTAATTGAAACACTGAATGGTAAGGCAGGAGACGTCAATTCTTTGTGATCTATCCTCAGAATCAAATTCTTGCCATTAAAGAGTTGCACTAACTCATTCTAACTCACAATGGTTAAGATTTGTAGTGGCCACTCACAGAAAATTGGTTTATCTCGCTCCTATTCCCTGTTTGTAGAGTCTGTGTCTTAATCATTATGTCTCAGTATTCAAAGAGGTAGCTATATAAACTTGAGCTTTCTGATGTGCAATGCTCAGTCACTGCATGTCAGAAGTTCCAGGCTCATAGACCTTTACAGAAATGAGGCTTCACCCTTCAGTGCAGATTGAATAATGAAATCAGACATAAAGTCAGGGAAGATAACTCCAATGACTGAAGCTATCGGTGCACTTGCAATAAGAATCTCTGTTACTGGACCTGCTTAAAAGCTTGACCCAAAGAGATGACTGCAAAGTACCTAATTGTTCACATAATTCATACAAGTATTCTCTTCTTTGTTATACCAGTCTTAAGTGAAAGCTGATAGGACAGTTAATAGTTACATTTTAATTCCATAGCAAAAGAGCTGTCATGCTTACCTTATGATGAAAAAGTAAACAGCTGCAATTTGCAAACCTCCGTTGTGAAAAGGAAAGAAAACTAACAGAAAGCAGAGGGCTAGCAGCAGCTATAACCCTCCCTGAGTGTGTATGTTTGCGTGTGAGAGAGGCAGCAATAGAGAAGAGTGGGGATCAATCCCAATTTTTGATGGTATACAATAATAATAATCTTTGCATTTGATATAGCGGCTTATCATGTCTTTGAGACGTCTCAAAGTGCTTCACAGTGTATACTGTAAAGTGAACTGACTGTATGTTGTGTGGGCAAATAACAACAGGGTATAGCGGATTGTGAGCATAGACAGGAGAAACAGTGTGTGAAGTTTAACTGTTGGTAATATGTGTAAGCACTGGGATTTTTACAGAAACATGAGTACTAATTCAATTCTCAATAGGTCAGTATAACTAGACATTGAAAGATAACCACTTCTACAATATTACTGCTGATATACTGATCATACAAATGGTTTCGTTACAGAATTTGTGCTAAACATGTGATTACAATTTTAAGAAGATGAAAAGATATCTTACATGGTAGATGTTATATCTTTGTGGACTATCAAATCAGGTAATGGTGGCTTTAAATCATTCTGCCCCCAAAGCACAATACTATGACTAATAATTTCCATTTGATACAGCACCTATAACGTCACGAACATCTCAAAGCATTCCACAAAGTTTCTGGAAAGTGTAAAGAGACTCTTTTTGTAGGTGAATACTGTAGCCAATTTGCACAAAGCAAAATCCCACAAATGACAAATTTCATCTGGGTGATTGTTACCCAGGAGAAACTCCCTTTTCTTTTTGAATAGTGCCATGGAGCCATAACCTTCATCTAACAGGCAGATAAGCCCACGGTTTAAAGTTTCATCCATAGAATGGCACAAAGCCAATACTGTATCAATAACTTGTGTTTCCGACATCATTAAGCAGCAGTTCACCATCAATCTCTATCATTTTCCATTGCTGGATTGCTGACCACTGTGCTGTGCAGATTCCTGTTGGTATAATTATATAAAGGTGAAAATTGTGGTGTCCCTGACCACATTGTGGAGTCCTGTGGCTCAGTGGTTAGAGCACTCGCTTTGCAAGCGAGAGACCTGAGTTCAATTCCAGGCAGAGGGCGAAACCTTGGGCAAGTTTCCTTACTCCACACGCCTAATAATAATCCCTCCAAAACTAAAAACAATAATAAATTGGTCATTTTCAATCTACGACTGTTTGTGGGAGATTGCTGTGCGCAATTGGCTGCCGCGTTTGCCCACAAATATACAGTCAATTCACTTTACAGTGTATTCTGTGAAGCGCTTTGGGACGTCCTCCCGACGTGAAAAGCGCTATATCAAATGCAAGGATTATTATTATTATTATTATTATTATTGCTTCTCAATCAGCACCCAGTTAACAACTTTTCTGATCCTCATGCTTTTCTTTTAAACCCACTAGGATCAGTGAGTAACAATAATCCTTGCATCTGATATAGCGCCTTATCAAGGCTTTGAGATGTCTAAAAGTGCTTCACAGAATATACTGTAAAGTGAATTGACTGTATATTTTGTGGGCGAAGCGTGGCAGACAATTGCACACAGCAGCGTTCTACAAACAGTCATGGATTGAAGTGACCAATTTATTCTTTTTTAAGGAATTATTATCCCCAGAAAAGCGATCCGCTAATCGACTAACAGCCAAGTTCTTACTTACTGCTAGGTAACAGAGGCGTGTGGAGTAAGGAAACTTGCCCAACATTTCACCCTGCTGGGAACCCAGCTCTCTCGCTTGTGAGGCGAATGCTCTAACCACTGAGCTACAGGACTCCAGTAAAGCCTTTAACTGAGCCACTACAAAAGTGGATTTTGTGCTTCCTTGCCAGGCATTGACTCAAATCATTTTAAAAGCACAAAACGTTCATTTAACAGGAATTGAGCTCCTCATAAAATTTTAAAGATGGCAGCAGTTTCATTTTGAAAAGCCTGAGGGAGAAAGCATATTCTTGAAATCAGGGGATATTTAAGGAATGGAATGCTTTTTTGGAATATTGCCACGTATAATATAGCAATCTTTATTCTGAACCAAAGCATGTATATTACAATTGTATACAATTCTAATGCAAATGCACATAAAATGACAATTCACAAGAATCAATAGCTGCAGATCTATTTACTCTGATAAGATTTTGGTGTGAAAAGTCCCTCTGCTCGATACTGGAGATGTCTGGAGCTCCAAGAGGTTTACATAAGACTGTGTAAAGGGCTAATGTAAGATTTTTGTTTGGTTCACATAGTAATAAAACCTCACCACACATATAAAGCAGGTATGGGAACATCAAATGCCTTAGATATAAACCCTAGCAGGTCATCTCAACCCAAATGGAATGTGAAACAATGAACCAAAAATATAAGTTTAAAACTTCAAGTTGTAATGCAGTTCCAAGAGATGGAAAGGTAGATACTCTTAATCT